CGTGGCTGACAGCAGATCCGCCACGCACACAGCTCAGAGTCAAAATGAATATCTCCTTATTCGAGAGTCATACTTGCTCGGCTCTTTGCCATCATTTCTCTACAGCAGCCCGCGCGCTGGATGAATCACAGATCACAGTGGTCACTGCGCAGGCGCAATCAAAACGTCCATCAGGTCGATCGTCTTACCATCAAAGCGTTATCGAAGGTGCCCCGAGACAAAAGCCCAGGCTCTCTACCCCTCGAAGACTCGCTCAACGTCCGCCGAAGCGCTTTCCCGTTCTTTGCAACGACCGTCATGACGGCGCTTGTTGTTGTGGCGGCCTGCACCAGCCGTGTACACCAACACCGAGTAACGAATACATCAATTGAATGGTTAGCACACCGTTGGTGACGTTCAGCTTTGCGTTCGCACCATGCTCGCTTGTGCGGGAGGCGGATTTAGCCTCTCACGCTTGGCGGTTCATAAGGCGTTTCACCTTCACAAGCTAACGCTTGTCGGCTAGCAAACATGTAAGATGGTTCGAGTGCAGTCTCAGGATGGCGGTCTTGCATACAAGATGGGGATTCGTTTCTTTAGAACAGCGAGGTGCACTGCCGACTCGTGAGCGGCAGGCGATGTCAAACATGTCTGGTCGCAATGCCATGAAGTGGGTGGATCCGCATTTTTGGAGTACTTACACTCGCTGTTGCCCTGCTGCCTTTGGCTCTTCAGCTGTGCTCACCTCTTTTTCTCCATATCTTATTCTTCAGACCTGGTGTCACAACTTAATCACTCACAATGCCTCGACAACATCAGTACACAGACGTTCAGGTGCAGGACCACCATGATGATGACTCCTCGACCGAAGTCGAATCTCTCGTTGGTGGAGAGAAATCATGGGCAGCGAACGGGTACACAAGACCTTCGAGGTCGCGACGAGAGACTCTCTGGACACCCTGCCTTTCAGCACTGCGGTGGTTCATTGTAATCGCACTCCAAATCGTAATCGTCGGTTTACTTGCACGCGAACAAGGTCTACTCATGGACTCGAAATGGACACGCGCGGCAACAACCAGCGAGAAGGAAGTCGGCGGAGATATGACAGGTTGGGGACCGCATAGTACGCCTCCACCACTTCACACGCTCACTTCACCAGCTAACCAATCCCAGTCCCGACCAAAGTCACGACATTCCAGATCAACCAAACCTTTGCGCCATACAATACCTCCGACTTCTTCAAGCCCGAGACACTCCAGGCCTGGAACGACCTGATCCCCGTAGGCATGGGTTTCCAGCACATCAAGCGGCCAGAGCAGTACCACGACCTGCCAACACCCATTGTATGGGACCAGAACAAGACCGTCTTTACCACCAGCATGACGCACCAGCTGCACTGCCTGTACGCCGTCGTCGAGGTCTATTCCGGGCTGAAGAGCAACATTTCCCTACCTGAGGACCACCACTGGCACATGATCCACTGCTTCGACTACATGCGTCAAGCTATCATGTGCAGTGCTGATATAGCGCTCGAGGGCCTGGAGACGACCTTCCCCGATCATAATGGCGGGAGTGATGGCTGGGATAGTAAACACGTGTGCCGCGACTATTCGCAGGTGAAGGCGCATTTGGAGAAGGTCAGGGCGTATGACGATCAGCAGATTTTCTAGGTGTGGGTCGGGTTGTGATATGCTTAGAATAGAATATAATCATTTGGATGATCAGTGTGGGCATAACACCGCGGCTTAGTCTTACTTCCCAGTGATGTTCCCCCAGAAATTACCCCTTTTCATCGAAACACGGTGAGAGTCCCATGCAGTGGTGCTACTAACTATCATTGATTGGTTTTGATAACACTTTGCTGCCATTCGCACCGTTCGAAGGACTGGACTCTCGGGATCGCCGAGTGTTCTTACTGCCTACATCTGTCGAGTGCGAGGTGAGCCATACTATCAGGATGCCCTGAATCATTGACGTTTCGTGGAACGCACCATTTTCGCGAGTAATTCTTTCCGTATCTTCAGCCAGTCAATCTTACTGTTCACCTGATTCGGTCTAGGAGATCATGAAGCAAGTCAGCTTGTGACTGCCTTTATTATGTACAACCAAGCACCGGGGTCTTGGTGTAAAGGACGGAGTGCCAAATGGAGTTACCTTCATCCTGCCCACGAGGCTCGCCACCACGCGGTTCTCAGAAGCCAAGCACGTCTTTAGTGCCGGAAGCTGGCCAAACCTTCACAACTGCAATCGATTGGGCATAAAAGTCGCGATATTGTATGCGTGGTTGCGGCTCTTGGTCGATCGTCTCTGCCTAGTGCCACTGCGGAGCATGGTCCGGAGTCGTGGCGCCCAGTGACCAAACTGCGGGTGGATCTTGGTGCGTACTGTACACATATATAATACCCATCATGGACACATGTTTTCTATTACGGGCCTACGGAAGAGCAAACAGGATGATAGTAGGTATTTGAGTTGACGACAGGAGCTTAACGAACGGTATTGGCATCGGTTCACAAGACTTGACTGACTCGAAGATGCCTTGGTAAATGCGAGCAGAGGCTGCTCAACGGTTGCTCATACTGTTGTAACGCAGTTTCAGTTCGACTGTCGTGAGTATTGATGTTATCGACAACACCCAGACTCTCTTGCTTCGACGATCGTGGGTCGTCAGCAACGATGCGCTCAGAGGCTCGAGAGTCACTCGAGGAGGCGTAACATGAGCTCATCATAGGCTCATACCAGACAGCGAGTATGCCTGCTTTGTCAAGACGTCAAGTTGCAAAAACCCAACCGTTGGCTCAAGGTCTTGCTCTATCGAGACGGCTGTGACTTCTCAGTAAGGAGCCAGTATCTACGTCGTTCGCATTTTGGACTGTGAGTGCTCACTGCACATACGTCACTGCCAGTCAAGGATCTCGAAGAGCTCTCATTTGAACTTTTAGTGTTATTAACGTAAGTCTTAGAATAAACTATAAGCAAGCGACAAGGATATACTCACTCCAATGATCAAGTGTGTGTAGGTCTTGCGTCTCGCATACACATATTCTTCAACCATGCCAGGTCATAGCTCCTCAAGTTTTTTACCACAGTTACGAACAGACAAAAGTCCCTCTGGTTTCTGAACACTTCTTCACTCATATGCTTCTTTCTGCTAGATTGCGCTAATCTCACGCTTGAGGCTGAACTACCACGGCCGGTTCCCCACACCCGACTCCGACATCTGCAGTATGACCGCACAACGCCTTGCACAAACCCATAATCTCGGTATCTGCTTCTGAAGCTCTAAACTTATAATCCCAAACATGGTCCATTGCAGAATTACTCTCCGCCCTGACATTACAGACCAATATCAGGCCATCACTTAGACCCCAACTCAGCCACACCACCACTATGGCCATTGCAAAAGAATCGCCCAGCAATGCGGCTTTTCCCATCATTATAGCAGGCGGCGGCTGCGTAGGCCTCTTCCTCGCGCTCCTCCTCGCCCAATCGCCCCTACCAAACCACATCCTTGTCGTCGAGCCGCAATACCCAGATCCAACCTCCACGCGCGCAATGGCGCACCAACCACCCACCTTCCCCCTGTTTGCGCAAATACCCGGACTGCTCCCTGAACTCATCGCCGCAGGTTCGCTCAGCGAGGGCCTGTGCTTCCGCACGAGCGTGGGCAACGGGAGTCGCGTTATCGCGAGTAAGACGTTCGAGAACGGGGGCGAGGGGATGAAGGGGAAGGGGCAGTTGTTGCTCCCGCAGGGCGAGTTTCAGAGGGTACTTTTGGGGCGGTTGGCGAAGGTTGAGGGGGTGGAGGTCAGGCTTGGATGGAGCGTGGATGATTTCATCCAGGGAGAGGACGGGAGTAAGGTCGCTGTGCAGATCTCTGGTCCCTCGGGGGAGACAGAGGAGATAGATGCTGCATTTCTCGTCGGGGCGGATGGCGCACACTCACGCGTGAGGAGGTGTATGGGTGTTGAGCTCTCTGGCGAGACGCTAGATGCGCAGCTCGTGGCTACAGACCTCAGGTTCCCGTTCAAGTCACACGGCTTCTTTGATGCCAACTTTGTCGTCGACAAAGCTAATTACGGTCTTATAGGCCGTATAGATAACGCTGGGCTATGGCGCGTGAGCTACGGCGTACCAGGCTCGCATACCGAGGAGGACATCAGGAGAACTGTCGACGAAAACCTGCGTACCATGCTGCCAAACAACGGAAAAGATGAAGCCGGTAATGACGCCTTTGAAGTCGTCAGAGTCGCGCCATATAGAGCACAGCAACGCTGTGCAGACACACAGATAAGTGGGAGAGTATTACTTGTAGGTGACGCCGCTCACTGTAAGTCTACTCACTGCATCTTCAGAATCCTCAGGCCTGAACGAGACTCACTGACATACTCACAGTGACCAACCCTTACGCAGGGCTTGGCCTTGCCTCTGGAATCGCAGATGCCGACGCTCTGGCACCCGTTCTTGCGCACATCCTCTCTGGGAAAGCAGCAGACGCAGACCGCCTCCTTTCCTCCTGGTCTGACGCGCGGCGGCAAAAATTTGCAGATGTCGTTGACAAGCCCAGTCGCATGGCGTATGCAAGGGTGAAGAGCAAGGTGGACTCGCAAGAGGATGTAGAGGCACTGTTAGCTAGAGATCCGATGGTGCGTGCGCTGAAGAGCGGGATGCCTGTGATGCCGCCGAGTCTGAGGACGGTAGGGGAGGAGCTTGCGGGATGGTGAGCCGGTGTTGCAAGTGTAGGAGCAATTTTTGAGCACGTCAATAGCTGAGGTGTTTGGCCTGAGAAGGTGCTACTAAGAGATGGCCTCGTTGATCTCGTCTATCTGATTGCGATGGAGACTGCGCAGGCAGATACTAGTCAACATATGTGGGCAGCAATCTTCTCATAGGATAGTAATAAATTACACATGTCTGTGACAGCGTCGAGGAAGTATCAGAATTTCTGTTAAGTGCTATTAAAATAACACAGTTCCAGTTTTCCCCATCGATCACGTCTGTTCCCAACCAGAAGTTGGACATCTTCAATAGTATAGTGGTCAGTATTTCTGCTTGTCATTCCTCTAGAAACAGCTCGCAGGAGGCCAGGGTTCGATTCCCTGTTGGAGAGATGCCATTGTTTTTATTTTTGACTGGTCTAGACTCCTTGGTTATGCTAGGGTTGTGGTGGTGGTGTTGGTTGTGAAGGAATTTTGCTGGATGGACGCACTGCCCCAAGTGGGGACTGCCGCCGAGGCATCGGCAACCATAGCCTTACATCATCAGCTCTGCGTATTTATGTTGACATCGCGAAGTATTTAGCTGATCATAAGTAAATTATACTATATTGATTGTCGCTGAGGCGTTCTGAGCCTGGCTGTAGTACAGCAATTGAGCAAGTTATTGTCCACCAGCCTTGCTTACTTCCGCATCTCACCTCTGCTTGGAGCTTTTACTTCGCAAGGCGCAGTATCTAGTGCGTACGAGCATTGCATCAAACCATCATACTATTCAAGACGAGTGGAGATATAACCACTCTTTGCAATGATGGCATTCCAGCGTGATGCAGAGCAATTGTTTTGTAGAGCACGACCTGTCAGTATACTCGAGCATTCATTTCTTTTAAGCACTCATATATGTATACAAGATCAAACCTCACTCCGCAAACAGCTCGCTCTATTCACAATGATCAAGTTCATTGTACTTCAAGCCACCACTTGTGTGATATGGCTGATTGCAAATTCCAATGCGCCAGTGGTATGCTCGCCAAGTATGATACAATATCGTCCACGCCTTGTCCTTGTATGGCGCCGTGTTGTACATCTATCCCAGGGCTCGTTCCTGAGCTCGAGAGTGTGCCCTGCTCTGGTGGGTCACCATGCTCCTCGCCCCTACTTTTCCAAACTTCCTTCCAGATTCTACTTTCCAGACCGTCTCGCCTCGGCCTTGTTGAAGGTCCAGCCTGTGTGCTTGAGAATCTCCTTCTTCTTCTCCTCCCGAGGGTCTGCCTCCATGGCGCGACTCTGCTTATTACTTATGCGCTTGTCGCGGGCCAGTTGCTTGCTCTGCTTCTCGGTAGGCCTTCGAATGGACCAGTTGATTTGGCGGAAGATGTTCGTCTTGATGGCTGCATGGCATGTCAGCGCTGTGCACACGGTCCGTCTCAGACATGTATCCTACCATCCACGCAGTATGGGCACAGGATGTGGGCGCGCTTCACCCGCCCACAGGCCGAGCACTTGTTCAGCGATGTGATGTCCTTGATCTCCTTGCCCGCCAGGAAGCGTGTGCGCTTCTTCATGTACGACGTCTTCTTCTTGGGCACTGCCTTGAGGATACCGTCCCAGATGTCGCCCAGCGACGGGAACGACGGCAGCGACAGCGACGGAATGGCGAGTCCGGCGAAGGGCGTCGACTGTGCAATGCGCTGCAGGAACGGCAGGTGCAGGACGGGGCGGACGGGGCCATTGAGGCCGCTGAGGCCGGGCAGAAGCGTCTGCCATAGTGGGGGCAGCGGTCGGGCGAGCGCCATGGTGGGAGATGCGGCGGGGATTGACGTGACGTGCGGCGTGCGGCGTGCGGCTCGTGACACGCGCGGTGGTGATGGAGAATAAAATGCACCCCAGCGCCCACGCCCACGCCCAGCCCAGCCCGAGCGCCGGTCCGCACTTGCCATCCCAGTCGTTAGCGTGGTTTTTCGCTTGCCCCTTTCCCTGAGCCTGTGCTGCGACTCCGCCAGAAAGTCGCCAGCGCAACGTCCCTGACTGTTTACTCCTGCAACGCCTTCCACGCCCACGTCCACGCCGACCCAGCACTCTCCCTCCACCCACACCACCGTCCCCAGCTCCCCGCACCCAGCAACCCCGCCCACGCGGCCCACAACAATCGCAATGGCTGCCGCTCCCCAGCCGTCCATCTTCCCGGACAGCTACGTCGGTTTCGACAGCATCACCAAGCAGATCGAGAAGAAGTCGGTCAAGCGGGGGTTCCAGTTCAATGTCATCTGCGTTGGTGAGCTTCGTGCAGCTCCATGAGCCTTTGCAGCCGCTAATGCAGTGCCAGGCCAGACGGGTCTCGGAAAGTCGACGCTCATCAACACCATCTTCGCGTCCCACCTGATTGACAGCAAGGGTCGCTTCTACCCCGACGAGGAGCCGCGCACAACCACCACCATCCACCCCGTCTCGCACACCATTGAGGAGAACGGCGTGCGTCTGCGCCTCAACATCGTCGACACACCTGGCTACGGTGATCTGATCAACAACGAGCGCTGCTGGGACCCCATCGTCAAGTACATCAAGGACCAGCACAGCGCCTACCTGCGCAAGGAGCTCACTGCCCAGCGCGAGCGTTACCTCCAGGACACACGCATCCACTGCTGCCTGTTCTTCATCCAGCCCTCCGGCCACGCCCTGAAGCCCATTGACATTGTTGTCTTGAAGAAGCTTAGCGAGTTCGTCAACGTCGTCCCTGTCATTGCCAAGGCCGACAGCCTGACCCTCGAGGAGCGTGCTGCCTTCAAAGAGAGGATAAAGGCCGAGTTCGCCTTCCACAACCTGCGCATGTACCCCTACGACAACGAGGAGGACGACCAGGACGAGGTTGCCCACAAGAACCAGATCAAGGTGCGCGGGTACAGCCCATGGGGCACTAGAAGCGTCACTGACCCATGATAGGACCTTATTCCTTTCGCCGTCATCGGCTCTGAGAAGACCGTTGTCGTCAACGGTCAGAACGTTCGTGGTCGCCAGACCAAGTGGGGTGTCATCAACGGTACGTCCACTACATCATCTCACCAATGCACTTGACCCTAATTGTACCTAGTTGAGGACGAGAACCACTGCGAGTTTGTCTACCTCCGCAACTTCCTCACTCGCACCCACCTTCAGGACCTCATCGAGACAACCGCCCAGATCCACTACGAGTCCTTCCGTGCCAAGCAACTGCTTGCCCTCAAGGAGAGTTCCGCCGCGGGTCACTCGTCTCGCCCCATTTCGCCATCGGCCGACCGCGAGCTCAGCAGGAACAGTCAGCGCATGACCATGAACGGCTACTAGGATTTGCCGAATCACGGCCGCGTTGACAGCCTTCCTGGGATGAAGGGTGGCCCGCCCCCGCCTCGCATGGAACGGCCCGCGCCAATCATCGATGTCTAGGGAGGCAGTGGGAGACGCAGCGCAGATGTGCATGTCTAGGCGTTTTCGACATGTTTTGATACCAGTGCACGCTTAGCACCAACCCCGGGGGAGCAGTGAGGGCTATTATGTTCACCAGACTTCACTTTACCACTTTTCTCAATATCCTTTTTAGTTTCGATGAGCTTCTTGATCTCTTATGCCATAGCACCATGCAGTGGTGGGTTTCACGCATGGGTTTAACTGGTTATACCCTTGTTCCCTCGGGATAGTGTAGTGAGGAAAGTAATACCAAGATGGCGCTTTCAATCGGTGAACCGTGACCCTCGCTCAACTGATAGCTAGAACGCTCCTCTTCTTATAGGAGTGTCTTGCAGTTGCAATTGCGCCCTGAAGGGCACTCTTCACGACTAGCTCAGGATCGTTTCCTCACCTGCTGCTCACCACAGCGTGGCCTATCACCCAATCAACCTCGACCCTGCAAAATCCTCTATGTTATCGTCCCCCTTGCCTCCTTTTGCCCCCTTCTTCCCCTCAATCCTCACACCCCGCGCGTTGGCTCCTTCTCCCCCCTGCTCTGCATTTGCACTCGTCGAAGTCTCCCCCACAATCCGCTCAATCACCTTCGCCTTTGCACCAGCCCGCTTGAATCGATCGTCGTAGTCCGCGACAGCGGTCTCGTTGTTAGATGTATCGAATGTAGGTGGGTCAGTCAGGTGATACAGCAGGGAAGTATTGGACGTGAGACGTGTCGAGGGATTAGCAATTGGGGGCAGGCGAGTCTGCTTGTCCTCTGAATGAGACTCTGTTGGGTTTGGTGTTGATGTAGTTGATGTTGGTGTCGATGTGGCAATCCTGCTCCCCCACACTGCTCCCCGCCCATGCAGTTCCCCCAGTGCAGCGAACTTCTCGAATCCCTTTTCGAGGCCGAATATTCGCCCTTCGATGCGGCCTGCTCGGGCGCCGTCGGTGATGCCCTGGGCGTGGGCGGAGGTGTAGAGGGTGTCTTCTAGGGTGAGGAGGTCGTCGAACGGGTCGTTGGGTTGAGAAGCCATGGTTGTTGAAGTATGTAGTGATTTGGGGGCTGTTCTTCTTGGGTGGGGTTGTTGGATTGTTGTTCCGGCTCTTAGGAAAGTTCCTGGTTCCATGACAATGCTGCCGTCCTCCTTAGGGTTTGAAGTGGCAGTGTTGAAGGTTGTAGCTCACGAAGCAGTCTTCTTTGGTTCCTAGTGATGTGTGCGTCCCCCAAGACAGTTGTTTTGGTTTGCCTTGCGAAGTGTAAAATTGTGGTTTGGTCACTCGGCGATTTCTTTGCAAGTCCAATTTCACTTTGCTGACGAATCAATATATCTTGATCACGCCTATAGTCGTAATGTACTGATGTAGAGTCAAAATACTGCAAGACATCTTTCTAACCCCTATTCAGTCGTACATCAATCGGTTGTTCGACAGCAAATCGACGCGATGTGGCGCTGTGGCTGGTGCGCCTGTGCGAATCGGCGGCGGGGGAGGGGCAATTGCGGTCTGACGCGATTGCCCGGAGTTTCTTGAGTCACTGCGCAACCACACGCGAGAAGGGCTGCAGATGAACAATTGAGCTGCAGTACTGGCAAGCAGCATACGGAAACCTCCCAAAAACCCCGTAGTCGTAACAAAAGGTAAGCTCTGCAGCTCTGGCGAAGCTCAAAACTTGACCAATATCCTGACAACAAGCACAGAAGTAACCAATGAGCGATACAAAGAAGATTGTCCTCCCCGTGGAGGGCGAGCGCAACGTGCTCATCACGAGCGCTCTTCCCTATGTCAACAACGTTCCCCATCTGGGTAACATCATTGGCAGTGTTCTGTCCGCTGATGTCTTTGCCCGCTTCTCGCGTGCGCGAGGCTACAACACGCTCTACGTCTGCGGAACCGACGAGTACGGCACAGCGACGGAGACGAAGGCTATCGAAGAGAAGTGCACGCCCCAAGAGCTCTGCGACAAGTACTACGCGCT